CCAAACCCAAAGCCCTAAACCATAAACCACAACCCCTAAACCCTAAACTCTTAAACCCGATAGACCCTAAAACCCCTGAAAACCGCGGAAGGCTCCGTACGCTTCGTGCCGCCGGAGCGTCGGCCGAGGAAGCGAAGCTGACCGAAGTTGCGGGACAGGCCCATGGGCTGCCAAGTTTACCCTAAACCCTAAACCCTAAGCCCAAGGGCCCAGGGTTTTGCCTTTTTGGGCTGCAAGGTTCAGGGTTTGGGGCTTTCGGGGTTTGGGGTTTAGGGCTTTAGGCCTTTAGGGTTTTAGGGTTTTATGGTTTAGGCTTTAGGGCCTTGCAGCATAAGGTTCAGGGTTTGGGGTTTGTTTTGGTGGGGTGTTAGGGTTTAGGGATCAGGGTTTAGGGACTTTGAGTGTGTCGGTGTACGGCTAAAGGTTTCAAAGATTTTGGGTTGTGGGTATAGTTTTTTGCTAGGTTGAGATAGGGCGTGCTACGACTTTGTGGGCCTGGGAAGTTTTGGGATTTGGGTCTAGGTGCTTAAGGTGTTTTTAAAGTGTCTGTCATAGGGGGCTCTATCGGGGCCTCATGTGGTTGTGAAGAGTTGTACAAAATCTTAGTGAGATTTAGGGATTGTGGGTTTCAGAGGCCCTAGCTTTGGTGTTGGGGTTCAGGGCTCGAGATCTGGAGTTTGAGATTTAAGGTGTAGGGTTTGGCTTTAGGGGGTCGGGGTCAACACTTTGAGAGTTTCTTCAGCAAGGGTTCCAAGTATAACTCCCTTTCATGCACGCGGGCGTAGGGCTGTACCACATTCCTTACTGAAAAGACTGTCTGGTCAGTAAAGTGTTTGTAGTAGTGCCCTAAAGCATGAACCGAAACCCTACACAGGTTTAGAGTGTTCTATGTACACTCCCGCACACTCTCTCCCCCCTCTCCCCCGCTCGCTCGCTCTCTCTCTCTCTCTCTCTTTTCCCATCTCTCTCTCTCTATAACATAAACAAGTAAACAAAAGTGTGTGTGTGTATATATATATATATATGTATTTGTTTGCTTATGTAAACAGATGTAGACGTACACATTCTCGGATTGGAGCTTGGGGTATGGACTATAGATATATAAGCTACGACCATAGGGCAATACATACATGATGAAAGGCACGGCTTCACCATAGTGGGAGAGATATGTAGAGGACCGCCATGCAACAGGGATTTGTTTGTGCTCCGCGCAGTGAAACGATGTTTGGAGCAGTAGACCATCGCCCGAACGCCTTTTGCATCCTCTTGCCATGTCACCGCTGGAAGCCGCTAGTTACCTCTTATCCTGCAGTACGAGCTGTTGACATGCCAACCTCAACCCTAAACCATAAACGCCAGCAAACATGTCTGCTCGAGCAAGCTCGTACAAACAGCGGACTCCTTGCCCTGTGCTCTGAGGACGAAGAGGCTAAACATACTTTGCTCAGCTTGCCATCGTGAGAAGGGCCCCGCCAACCCCGTACAGTAACCCCTCAACCCCGCAACCACTAATCCTGAAGCCCAAGCCCACGCTTCTATACGGAGGTCTGAGTAAATATTTGGTACTGGATTGATAACACGATAAGAATGATAGTCGTAGTAACAACAAAATGATCAAAGCAACACCAGTACTGATACAAATACAATTGCGAGTTCTTATTCCAGTAGTGCTACTAACACTCACGCTCAAACTCACGCTTGTACTCATACACATACTCATACGCATACTCATACATGTGTCCGTACTCATACTTCGAAGAATAAGGTCTAGGGTATATTGCCGAATGGAGGTCGTTTAAGCGTAAGTTCTCTTCGTGTGGCTGCTGGCTCAAGCAATCAGCTGGTGTGGTGTCGCGCCCTCATCAACACCTGCAAACTTGACTGGAGGCAGGAGTCTCTCCCCAGCCATGTAAACCCTAATAAAAATTTTCGAATCCTTATGGTACAGAGAGCTGAACAACTTATCATCAAAGCATGATGTAAATGTAGCCCGCAACGCGATTATCAGTGTTATGGCCCCTGCATTAGACCCCCTACACTGGCTAGGAGAGACAAGAAGGCACGAGAAAGAGGGCGGCGAAGTGCCCCAAACCCGAAACATTGCACCCTAAACTAGACAGAAAGAGCGAGAGAGAGAGGGAGAGAGAGAGAGAGAGTAGAGCTAGAGATAGAGACAGAGACAGAGATAGAGCTCGAGATAGTTAGCGATAGAGTTATGCTCAACTTCAGAAGAAGTTACCACGCCCTAAGAACCCAACACCCTACAGCCTGATGTTATACTGTCATAGAATTAACAGACTTTTGCTACTGTACTATATTAAACATGGAGATGATCATATACCGATGATGGCCCAACACGTATAAAAGGCAATTATTCTGCCTACAATTTAGGGCCCAGATAAGCCCTAAAGCCCTAAACCCTCGAGCCGGGCTTCGGGTTGCCCCCTGGGAACCCAAGAGCTTATGACGAGAAGCCCCAAAGCCTCAAAGTCAGCATCTTGGACCCTAAACCCTAAACCCTAAACCCTAAACCCTAAACCCTAAACCGTGATCCCTGAGCCCTTTCAAGCCCCTCACCCCTGAAGCCTAAGCTTTGTTGGGCTCTTGAGCCCAAAGACTGTCTACCCTGAAGTCCTAAAGCATTCAAGCCCCAAGCCCTAGAACCTACACGCCTAAACTTTCAACCCCTCCAGCCCCAAAGTGTTGGAGCGGAGCAGAAAAGCCTCGCACTCGCCCTTAGAAACTGAACCCTGAATTTGAAACCCCAATATTCACGCCTGGCTGATTAGTAGTGCTATGTCTGCGGGCTCCCAAATTTATAGGACATTTGCCACACTAGCTTTGTTCCAATTATTCACTCTTACCTGAATTGCTTCTAACACCCTATTTATGCCAGCGCAGATCCCGAAGCAGTGAAGGACCATACGGCAAATACAGCGCGAGAACCCCGGGCATCGCGCGCCCTGGGGCCAGTGATCAGGACGCTAGTTCGAGCAAGGAGACCGTCGACCACTACGTCAAGGACAAAAAGGAGACCAAGAGCGGAGAAGACCACCAAGAGACCAGCCAAAGACCACGGAGGAGACCATCGGGAGACCGTAAAGAGATCAGCACAAAGAACGAAAACCCGATCAACTGGTGGGGTTAACAGGTGTGACAATTACCATTCTGAGAAAACCAGACATTTCGATGCCAAAACCAAGCCAAGTAAGTGGAATGTACAATGAATCTGGCTGTACGCAGAATGCGGCCGCACTGACGCTGTGTAAATGAAAGGGTGCAAGAGCCACGGCAGAGCCGCGTTGTGGGGAACCTTCCGTCGTGGATGCTGTGCAGCCGCGCGAACAAATCATCTTTGCTGCCCACGCTGTGTGTGCAGCACTATCAAAACTCACAGAAAACACAACACCTCCCCTAATCCCTATAAACTTTAAACCCAAAACCGCAGAATCCCGAACCTGGAACGAGGCTCCAGACAGTCGGCTAGAAGAATCCTCATGGCTTTGGTCGAGATGGGATCCCCGGCCGCAGAGTTCCGTTATTGGGGCTTTCGGCGGTTCAAGCTAGGGGTTTGGGGTTGAGAGGGTTTGGTGGTTTGGGGTTTAGGGGTTCAGGGCTGTGGCGTTCAGGGTTTCGATTTTTTCGGTGGGTTTTATAAGGACTTCTGCAGCATTTATTGGGTCCTCCCTACGGTGTTGATGAGAGACGGGGGGAGTTGCTGAGGGAGATATGGAGTCTTTGCTTTAATCGGGCTAGGGCTTGGGGTTTAGGCTAAGGTATTAGTGGGCTGAGAGTTGATTGGAGTTTGGGTGTGGGATTTCCGTGGCTAACTTGTTGTCATTCCAGGTGGTACCGGCGCGAGATGGCTTGGGGGTATGTTTGCTGTTTGTGGGTGGTTGTCAAAATTATGATCCTTTTTTGGGTCCTTATTATAATATGGCACCTATTATTTAGGGTACCCCAAAAGGGACCATAATTTTGACAACTACCCTTGTGGAAATTTGTCGGGTTGAGGGTGTGCTGTTTGCCATGTGGGGCTCAAGGTTACATGTATACCTGCGACTGCATGACCGTATCTACGTATGTGTATGTACGTATGTGCCTATATGTATGTTTGTCGCGTAAAGATCTTGTTCGATGGTGTATTCCAGCAAACTTAGCAAGCATGGTAACCTGTTATGGTGATGGTGATGTGGTACCGCTGGTAATGATGACGGTGCTGATATGATGATGCTGTTGATGGTTTGGGTGGGCATGATGATATCGATGGTGATGGTGATGACGACGAACGCCCGCAGGAAAGCCCCGCAGTTAAGGAATGTACCAAAACTGTGCCAGGCTCCTGTATGTGGGTGAAGGTAAAAAGAGGGCATCGGACCCCTGATTCTGAAGGAGTGTGCACCTGAGGAACCTTCATATCATGAGTTGATTAACGTATGTTCTGTATTATAAGCCCCATGAGAAACCTTTGAAGCTCCATAAAGCCCCTGAGTTTATGATATGTGCCTTAGTTAAGCCTTGTTTGAGCGCTCTGCAATGGGTCTGCTACGGAGGTGCTCCGCGAGTTACGCCCTACTTGGCGACCAAAGGTATTGGCGCAGGCCTGGCAAACCAAAGTGGTGAATATAGTGGGTGTTACACATTAGAATAGGCTTTTGTAAAGGGTTTGACAACGGAGTTTGAAGGGTCTTGTAGGGTTTGTAGCATAGAAGCCTCAATCTCGAGTATGGTTTCTAGTTGAATAACACTAGAGTATTGTATTGGCAATCATTCAGGCCCCTGATCAGTGGTGCTGCCAGTGCTCAGGGTGTCCAATTTATCCTTGGTATGACGCCACCCAAAACCCTCCTCTAATTATTCAGGCCTCTGTTTTCGCTGGAACCGACGTAGATCGCTCTGATTGCATGTTACATTCAATGGAAGCCGAACTCGAAATTAGACCAATGGAGGAAATCCATATCCGTGCGAAAGCTATATCCGTGCTGCCGATGGCCAAAATCCCGCGAAACCTCAGGTAGCTGAATTACTGTAGGAGTTCACGTGGCTCACCCATGTTATGGGTATTGCAGGAGATTGTCTATGAGCAGTATCACAGGCAGGATGCTGCCTTCGCGTAGGAATGCGAGGCTTCCAGAAGGTCTCAGGTTTCAAGTGAACTACCATAGGGGCTTCAATGAATACCTATACTATTTTGGGGGGTCCTTACTATAGTCATAGTATGGTATACCCCCCAAACCTATTCGAATTATAAAGGCCCCTATATTACTCAAGCACGAAGTCAAGAGTCGGCTCGTGCACTGTTTTCGCATGCGACGCGCGTCTGAACTTCGGTTCCAGGCGCAAGAACAGTCCGACAAGTTTTCACCTTAGACTCAAGGGTGTAGTGTCGAGGAGTTGGGGTAGATAGGTGCTGGTGTTTTTGTTACTGTTGCTGTTGTGACTCTGAACTGAAAAAATCACGACCCTGAGCACTAAACCTGATGGCCCTGGTATGTTTGCAGACGTCTTAGGGCGGAGGTATTTTGCTTGACCGAAGCAGCTTCGCAAAGCAATTGAAAGCGGGTTAGGGTAGGGCGTGAGACTCAGGCTTTCAATTTCACGCTTGGATGGGGAGTGCTCCCTAAGCTAAAGCGTAGATCTCAAAGGTAAAGCCCAAACCTTCAAGGCATGGCAGTGACGGGTGACGTGCATTGGGAGATGCCAGACGCAACTCGGTCGCAGGCGGCATTGTTGTTTGCTACAAGTAGGCTTTAGAAGTGTTGAGGGTTTAATATAGAAGCCTAAATAATTACCTATAGTATGTTGGAGGGCTCAGATCTACCTCAACAGCGAGGATTGCTGAACGCCCCAATCGTGTGATAGCACACGTTCCACGCGTGCCCCGCCGCCATAGCAGCGCGACACAGCCCCTGCTGGCACCGACGCCAAAGAGCGAAACGCTCCAAGCCTCCAAGCTTCGGAAAGCTGTCAAGCAGCGTAAGGATTCTGGACTGCCCTTGCGGCTTGTGGACGTCGATCTGCTCCAGAGACACCACACGCGCCCCGTTTACAAGTGGGCTATGGGTGGCAGGAAAGGCGTCGCGACGCATCAATGGCGCGACAATACTGGAGATTTGTATTGGCGTGGAGCCTGGGCCGTCTCACCCAGGGCACAGACATCTCAGCAACAGCCGAGGTACGACAGAGTGCAGATCAACGGCAAGGGAACCAAGGGCCGTGGAGAAGCGACTACGCCACCGTGGCAGGAGGCTGGAACTACAGCTACATCCGGCATGACGCAGACCCAGGCAGTGCAGCGGGCCCTAACCATGGCCCGCAAGGCGGACGCAAAAGTTCGCCGCTTACAGACCGAGGTCGAGCTGAAGAAGAAACAATGGGACAAATTCGTGCTCGACCAGAAGCAGAATTTCGTGAGACAAAAGAGGCAGTTCGGGGAAGACCTCAACAAGCTCGAACGAGAGATACAGGAGGCCACGGAGGCCGGCCACAGTGCAGCCGAGAAGATGAAAGCCATAGTGCTCCAAGGAGTACAGGCAGTCCAGCAGATGGAAACTGCCATGGAAACCGAGGACGACGAGTGGGAACGCCTAATGAAGGAAGAAGAGGCCGGGCCCACTGCGACGGACTTCCTACAGGAGGCGTACCGAGCGGCACAGCGCTTGCCTCCTGGAGCCATGCCTCGAGAAGTACCACTACCAGCGTTGGGACATGCCCCAGGGCCCCCGGCGACAAGCGAAGTGGGACAGATGGCCTACAATTCGTCCTCACCGGCTTGTACCATCACCGACCCCTACCTGGCCAGCCCTTCCTTTGGACAAGGACTGACGATCAAGCCTACACCGCACCCAGGCACCCTGGGAGAACATCAAGCAGGACCGCCGGGGACAATTCCATACCAGGAGCGCTCCAGGTCTACCACGTACTCCTGGACCAGCCGGGCCCAAAGGCCCACCGGCGGAGACAGTGCCAGAGGCACCTACGATGCCTACGGATCAAGCCGTGGTTCTACCTGCCGACGATCATGCAGGCAGGGGGCCCCCGGCAGGACACGGCCTGGCAGAGAAGCTCGCTGCCAAGCGAGAGGAGAGAAGAACAGCTCTGGCACCGTTTGGGGTTGCCGGACTACAGACGCACGGCAAAGGAACAGACTTGGCCCCGCCCGTCACTACGGCAGCCCCCGCGGAAGTCTTTGTGGGTTGTCAGTTTGTCGAAGACGACGAGGATCTACCACACGTCGCCTCACCGGGCCTGGCCAACTTAGAGTAGTGCGTGCTGATGGGAGGCCTCAGCCATGCATTGTCGGCGGCACGGGTGGCTGCTACCTGGACGGCCCTGAGTTCGTGTCTGCACTGGGGCAGACCCTACTCGCGATGCCACTCGGGATAGCTACCCATCTGTGCGTCCGACTGAGACTGGTTTCGAGGCCTCCTTTTTCACCTTGTATAGCAGGGGTCTGTAGCTGTACAGGATTTACTACTGAGAGCCTTCTGGCCGCTTTTTACTGCTCGGGGCCTCGCTGGATGACCAAATGCCACTTCACTCCGCCTCGCCCCCCTTGGATTTCTTGGACTTTCCCTATGTCCTCCTCGGCCAGACTACCATTGGCATTGTGGTATCTGAGCCCACGCCTTGGCGATGAACCCTTCCGCCACAGTTTTGCACCCCCGACACAATCCGTGTCGATAACGCACCCATTACTGCACGCGCCTCACACGTGTATCGGTGGCTCAGGGACACGGGCTGCAGATTTTGGGTTACAGTGTTTACATAGCACATGCACCACCGGACTGGCACTCCCAACTGCCATCCTTCTGTCATTTGCGCGGAGCCTTCTTGGGCTCATCTTGTGCCTTCAGTTGCGTCTCCTTTTTCTCTGTAGGAAGTGCCGTCTCTCATTGAGACGGGCACCGACTCCACAGGAACAGGCCGCAGATGCAGCAATACGAGTTCTGGGCTCCATGGGTCGAGCCTTCGACACTTCATATACAGTTTTAGACTGGCGGCCTTGGACAGATCCCAAAGGACGTTTGCGCCTCGGCCGACACAAGCCCCTGCGAGGCAGTGCTTGCTGCCGTCTGTTTCGCCATGTTGGTTTAGCAACTTTACCCATGTGCGTCTGGTCAGCGCCAGCGGGCCTTAGAGACATAACTGCCTTTTCGGACTATGTTGCGCTGCACCAGCCCGAGAGCCTACCAGCAGGAGCGAGACACACGGAACATGCAGGGCGTGAGGCGGACGCCGCCCATAATGAGAGTCATGTTTTTACGACTATCGTCGCCAGCACTCAGTCAGAAGCCCTTCTGGAGGCCACAGGTGAGTCTCTTCCCCTTCCCACCATCAAGGCCTATATCCTTTCACCAGGGTTTCAAGGACAAAGGATTGATCTGCCATTGCGGCCCGAGCCTTACACGAACATACCAGGAGAATTGCATTCCAGGGCCAGATATGCAGAAGAGACCAACAGAGTTGTGCCCCTGCCAGTGCAACCCCTCCCTAACCTGTATGTCTGTATCCTCGAGCCCGAATGGCTAGCAGCCTCCATGCGGGAAATCGTGGTTTTTGACTTCAGTGGGTTTGGGGGTCCTGTTTTCAGCGAATTCATGTGGTCTATGCTCTTCCACAGCACACTCGCTGACATCGCGCGCGAGCATGTGCAGCAACCCTGGCAAGTCTACCTAGGCCCTAACACGACACCCCTACCTGTTGATCAGGAGATATATGTGCATACAGGCCAGGTTTTCAAATTTCTGCCAGTCCAGGACCATCCATGCTGGACCCCGCAGTTAGATCGCCCACCGCTCTTTTCCAGGACAGAGCCGACTAACATAGGCGAACCACAAGTACCACATCATCTTGCCGTTTTTGACGACTACTGCAAGATTTTCCCCCGCGGAGTCGACGATCAAGACTTTCGTAATAATATAGCCGAATATAGGTTGCGGGATTTTGCACTGCTTTCTTTTGGAGACCCCGACCCCATAGAGTCGTTCCAGGACCTCCTATACCAAGGCGTGCATTGCCCACGGGTGACTGCAGTTACCACACGCCCAGACAACCTACCTCCCGGGCCGAATTTAGGTACTTTTGTCTTCCTCGATCTACGGAAGGTAGGCCGCAGCCTCACGTACCTTTTCGGTGGGGTTGAAGACCGTGATACGGCACACATTTACCGTTACGCCGACCTCAAAATCCCAGACGGGTTTAGACCTTTCATTGAGGGCTGCGAGGCGCACGTCACGACTGTAGGTGTATATGAGGGGATCGTACTCAAGATTGCTTTCACCAAGTGAGCCCCAGCCACCCGCGAATTGCACAGCTTCCGGAGAGTCATCCTGAACAGACCGCCGGGAGCAGCGCGACATCCTCACATAGTGCTTTCATGGATGACAGTAGCAGCCCACATCCTGCAATTGCTGTACACACTAGCACAGAGGAAGCCCCGGCTGACGCAAGTCCTTTGTGGTTTGCGCTGTTTGCGCCTGACTGTGCACCAGAAGTACACAAGCTCGTCGTCAGCTTACCAGATACCATCGCTGCCATCCAAACACGGTTGACAGAAGTTCGTACCGGATACGGGGCGGACTACTTTGGGCGGCTCATTCCTGTGAGAGCACAGCCTACAACTGCCTTTGGGGCCTTCTTGTCCGTGCCTACCTGGTATACGGCCAAGCACTGTGTCCTTGTTGACAGCCGAACGTGGGACTTGCGCCTTTTCGCCTTTCTCTCTGCCCCATGGACCCAATGGGATTCCTTCCTGACACAGCTAGGCTTGCAACTGGACGCAGATCTTGCCATCTTGCGCAATGGTGTCAGACTTGCAGTATCACGGCCCGTGCAGACCAGCGAAGGAGACATGTTTACCGTTATTGACGCCAACACGCCTGCCGCCCCTGTGGCAGACTTAGCCAACATGTTGCAGTCAGCCGAGGGATGGGATCACCAGCAGCCCAGCCTCCACAGTGGGCCCTGTTCCCATTTCTGGGTCCTGACTGATGGAGGCGCCAGAGGCATCACCGCCGATACATCCCAGGTACACAACACCGGCGATTTTGCCACCTATGCAGCAGGACTACTGGGCTTCCGCCCGTGGAGAACTTCGGTTAAGCCTTCGAAGCCACGTGTCCGAAATGGAAACTATGGCGGTGTTGATTGTAAGGCAGTTGTGGTCGTTACGGAGCATTTCCCCAATCTCCCCATACCACCCGCAAGACTAGCGCCCAAGCCCGTCATTGCTATCTTCGATCTCCGACCGCTTCTGCGCGGTTTCACTTGGAGACTGTACCCCGTTGGGGAACTGCATCTCGATAACCTTGAACAGGAGTTCCTGGATGAACTGCCGCCAGATGGAGATGTTTACATACACGGAGGAGTCGAAGATGAGCGGGGGATCACAGAGTCCTGCTCTTTGGCTGCTGCGATGTTCTCGTTGTGGAGTACGCATCAAGGCCGAGGACAGTTCATGTCGAGACAGAATCCCACAGGCCCAGTGACAGTGACGCGGATACATCCTCTGTGAGCGGCTCCACAGCTCCGCCAGATATCGCGCCCTCCAATGCCGAGCACAGTAAAACCCCCCGGGGTAGGCATAGCGGTTCAAGGAACAGGCTAGGCCTTGGAGCCGGCAGGTACGCCTTGCTGGGCACACTGCCGAGTGGTGCGACAGCTCTGGCAATCAACGCGAGAGCTGGTCCCGAACTTGCATGGAG